GATGCACGTGGGTTTGGTGCAAGGGATGGGGCAGCTGGGATTGGTGCAAGGGATGCAGGAGAGGTTGGTGCAAGGGATGCAGGGGGGATTGGTGCAAGGGATGCACGTGGGTTTGGTGCAAATGACACACGTGGGTTTGGTGCAGCTGGGATTGGTGCAAGGGATGCACGTGGGTCTGGTGCAAGTGATGCAGCAGGGAGTGGTGCAAGGGATGCACTGGGGGGTGATGCAAATGATGCACGTGGGTTTGGTGCAAGGGATGGGGCAGCTGGGATCGGTGCAAGGGATGCATGTGGGTCTGGTGGAAGTGATGTAGGCGGCGTTGGTGCAAGGGATGCACTGGGATTTGGTGCAAATGATGCATGTGGGATTGGTGCAAGGGATGGGGCAGCTGGGATTGGTGCAAGGGATGCACGTGGGTCTCGTGCAAATGATGTAGGCGGAGTTGGTGCAAGGGATGCATGTGGGCTTGGTGCAAATGATGCACGTGGGATTGGTGCAAGGGATGCACTGGGGGGTGGTGCAAATGACACACATGGGTTTGGTGCAGCTGGGAATGGTGCAGGGGATGCACTGGGGGGTGGTGCAAATGATGCACGTGGGATTGGTGCAAGGGATGGGGCAGCTGGGATTGGTGCAAGGGATGCAGCAGGGGTTGGTGCAAGGGATGCACGTGGGTTTGGTGCAAATGATGCAGGGGAGGTTGGTGCAAGGGATGCACTGGGGAGTGGTGCAAATGACACACGTGGGTTTGGTGCAGCTGGGATTGGTGCAAGGGATGCACGTGGGTCTGGTGCAAACGGTGCATGTGGTGTGGGTGCAAATGACACACGTGAGTTTGGTACAGCTGGGATTGGCGCAAGGGATGCACAGGGGGGTGGTGCAAATGACACACGTGGGTTTGGTGCAAATGGTGCACGTGGGATTAGTGCAAGGGATGGGGCACCAAAGGGGGGTGCAAGGGATGCGCTGGGGGGTGGTGAAAATGGTGCACGTGGGATTGGTGCAAGGGATGGAGCAGATTGGATTGGTGCAAGGGATGGGGCACTGGGGGGTGGTGCAAATGGTCCACCTGGGATTGGTGCAAATGATGCACACGAGTCTGGTGCAAAGGATGCATCAGGGGCTGGTGCAGGGGATGGGAGCTGCGAGGTCCGTGCAAGGGGTGCACGTGGGGTTGGTGCAAATGATGCACGTGGGGTTGGGGCAAGGGATGGTGCATCTCGGGTTGGTGCAAGTGGTGCAGGTGGCGTTGGTGCAAGGGATGCACTGGAGGCTGTTGCAAATGATGCAGATGGGTTTGGTGCAAGGGATGGTGCACGTGGGATCAGTGCAAGGGATTTAGTAGTGATCAGTGCAAGGGATGCACCAGGAGTCAGTGCAAATGATTCATGTGGGATTGGTGCAAGGGATGCACCAGGGATCGGTGCAAACAGTGCACGTGGCGTTTGTGCAAGAGATGCACCAGAGGCCGTTGTAAAAGGCACACGTGGGATTAGTGCAAGGGGTGGTGCACTGGGGGTTGGTGCAAGTGGTGCAAATGCACCTGGTGCTGGGGGTGTGCGAGGAATCCGTGCAAATGGTGCGCTGGGGGTTGGTGCAAGGGCTGGCGCACGTGGGATTGGTGCAACGGTTGCACCATGGGATGCGGCAGAGGTCGGTTTGTGGGAGGCACGGGAGAGCCGTGCAAACGGTGCACGAGGGTTGGGTGTGAGCGGTGCATCGTGTGGCCGTGCAGTGGTTGCACAAGGGCCTGGTGCAAGCAGTGCAGCGCGTGGCAGCACAGCTGTTGCACCAGGGATCCGTGCAAGGGACGCGTCGGTGCTCAGTGCAAGCAGCTCAGTGGTGATTGGAGCTGATGGTGCAGCTGAGTTTGGCACAAGCACTGCGTGCCGTGCAAACGGTGCGGGAGGAGGCCGTGCAAGCCTTGCACAAGGGTTTTGCACAAGTGTCTCAGCAGAGCTCGGTGCAAGCGATGCAGCAGGGCCCCGTGCAAGCCTCGCACCAGGCTTTTGCACAAGCGATGCATTGGGGCTTAATACAAACGGTGCCGCAGGGCCCCGTGCAAGCTTTGCACCAGGCTTTTGCACAAGCGTTGCACGAGGAGCTGCAGCGCGCCCTGCAGCCCTGCCCGGCCCCGTTGCAGCCCCACAGCGGGGGGGGGGGTCGTGCCCCACTCCCACCAGTGACACCATTGAGCTGTAAACCCT